GACTTAACAAAGTAAATAGAACCTATTATGTCAGATTGGTTCACAAATATTCAGCTGCTATTTTCTGTTTTGAGTAATTTTAACTTTTAAAGCACATTATTTCTCTCCCTTTGTTTAATTTGAGATTCAAAAGTTGGTTTCATAAACCAGCTGAGAAGGAAATCGACATGTAGGTTGAAAATCACTATGAAATCATTATTCAGCTTGTATTTGATAATAATTAAAATCTGCAGTATTTCAATTGCAGGGAAGTATAGTTCCGTTCTAAACAGTAATGTAAGAGTCTTCCTGAGAAAAATGTCACTTTATTTCATGGTCCTATTTTCTTCATGCCAGGAGGGAAGGAACTTCATAATCTTTATATTTTCACCTTGAAGTGCAGAGATCTTAACAAAGTTCAATTGTACCTGCAACAAAGCAATACAAATTCTTCTATCTTTGCTTAGTCATTTACCTAACACTGCACCAGGCCGGTGTAAGGGAATCATGTAAGAACATATGCAAGAATATGACAGAGACAGAAATGGAGCTCAATAAAAGAATAAAATTCAGAGATTACCATGGCGAGAAGAATGTTTTCCTGCAGTGTTGTGGCTTATACAACACTCAAGTACTCTACCACTGAGCTTATCATTCCAGCCCTGGTTTTTTCATTTTGTCATTAATGAAACCTTAATGTATGCCTTGGAAAAGCTTCCAGAGTCAGAATTTCAGCAGTGTATTTTGTTGTTGTTATCACTTAAGAACATTTCACATGCACAGGAGAGTCAAACTGGTGACCCTAACAAAGACCCTTAGCCTGCATGGTCAAGTAGATAACCCACTATCAACTGCTGGGTTAAGTGGTCATTACTTCCCTCCTATCAATCCCATCTCCAGGAGACTGAACCGATGTCCTCCCTGACCATAGTTCATTTTGATATCAAAGTGCACAGATAACATCGAAGACACACCTGAAAAATTAGATAAAAGGGGCTGGGATTTAGCTCAGTGGCATAAGCACCTGCCTTGCAAACATGCAGTCATGAGTTCAATCCCTGGTATCGATAAAAAAAATTTTTAAAAGATTAGATAGACATCTTTTTAAACTAGATAACAGATAAATTATGCTACATGTAAATTGCACTGTTGCTGATCACTTTGCTTTTCATTAAAATATCACAGTATTTAAAATTCTTAAAAGGAAAATAATGAAATTTAAAGTCATTTTTCTGAGCTCCAAGATTTTCCATGCCCATGTTTTCTGGATGAAATTTCACTGTATCTTTTCCAAACTCTGAATGATATATTTAAAGAAAACCCCAAGGTTAGAATTTCTGAGAGATTTTCTATTGAAGATGTTAAAGCGAAACATTCATCAATACAAGGATCTAGGAATAAATTCAAATTGAAGATATGGTAAATATGGTGAGTCTTTATAGAGACAAAATTCTTTAAAAATTAGAATACTATATCCTTTAATGTAAAATATTCAGAAAAGTTAAGGAATTTCTAAGGGGAATAATAATAATCACAAGTAAATTGGTTTCTTTTAACAATAGTGTAGGTCTTTTTTCAACTTCTCTACTTCTATTAAAGAGTAAAACCTTTACCTGATTTACACTGGCATATGACCAATATGTTTCAGATGCAATGGCTTAAGCAGTGCCTAACAGATTGGTAAAACACTTCCCTGAGGTGGGTGGTAGAGACATGGTCTTGGAAACTACAAAGCCCCTGGCCACTTGTGGACTGGCACTATTCCCTTGCTTTGTTTTCTGTCATGAACTAAGCTCCTTTGCTTTGCTTTGCCTTGGAACTAGCCAACCATCATGCCCTTAATTGTGGCGTGTGGTTAAGCAGCTTTCGCATTTTCATCTATAAAAGGATCTAGGAATTCTGGAAACTGGGCCAGTTAGAACTTTCCTTCTCTACATTGTGGGTGCTCGGTGATGAGAAGGCTGATTATCACACTGCAGAAGTACTTGCACTGTTTTCTTACTGAGGCAAGTCAAACATACTCTTGGAAACAATAAACATGTATATACACTACATTAAATGGGTCTGATTCGAAATTAGATGACTCCACTTTTCCTGGTTTCCCTTTGCCCATTCATCTCATGTGTGAATATATACAATAGTTTTCCCTTATTTCTATGCATACAACAGTCTTTCCTTAATCCTATTTATGGAGCTCAATAAAACCAATATAGTACATGAAAATGTGAAAATAAATCACTAAAGAAAAGAGGTTTTTAAAATTTTTGCATTAATCTTCTGATAGGTAAAGCATTCTACTCTGATGACTCCTAAGTTAAAAATCACTTCTCTTTGAAATGGAGTAGAATCCTGAAGGCCAAGGCCCCTTGTGCTAAAAGCAGTAAAGGAATTCAGCCATACAGTGGCAGGAGCCTTCAGAAGTAACCTAGGTTCCAGGCAAAGCGTCCATGTGCACTTGGAAGCCTGTCCTGGCACCTGGCAGTGTCATCATTGTGTTTCATTCTGGCAAGGGTAGAGGTCCCAATTGCAGCTCACTGCAGAGATCTGGGTGAAGAGTGACAGATAAAAGTCCTGCAGTGAACCGTTTTTAAAATAAAGGTTCAGGAAGCATGCTCAAGGGAAACAGAGGAATTCTTAGTTATATATGTCCCTGAGAATTAAAAATAGTCACAATAATTTAACAGACTTGGTTTGTAGTTGTAGGAAAGACATTGGGTTCAAATCTTTTACCCCCAGCAGGATCAGCTTTGCATCACTTATCTTAGGGAAGATAAGCGAGTGCACTCACACATCCTCAGCATTTGCAAAATCTGTCAAGGGTTAATTTAATTAAACCAGTCACTTATGAAACATAAGTATTTGTGTTCACAAATAATCAGGAAATCTAGAAGTCTGGGCAACCCCAGAGACTTCCCAGATGAGGAAACAGAGGACATAAGCAATTAAATGAATTGAATATTTTTTAGTAGTAGATTGTAGTTTGTGAATTTGTAGTTTGTAAATTTCTAAACTAGTAGATTATAAATTCAAAATAGTAAATATTAATATGATAGTATTTATTCTACTTACATATGTCACTTTGAACAAAAATATCCATAATGCCACACATTAGAAATCATGTAGTGATAAAAACAGAAACACACGTAAACATTCAAGTAATAGGAAAAGGTATTTCCTATAGAGTATCACAAAAGGTTAATGTTCAAGGTTAATGAGAACTCGTAGTTCTACCCAACAGAAGCCTAAATTTCAACTCATTTCTAGCAGAGCATACAATCAGACCTGGATAAATGTTTTTGGGCATTTGATGTTGGAAAAAAACTCCAAAGTGCCCTTCACATTTGGATGTATGAGTTTGGAAGCCAGCGAGAATGTCCTGTGACTCTGTCTTACCATCATATTCCACAGGAGCAAGGGATTTTGCTTCTGATGTAAAAAGAAAATACACTTATGCAAGAACATGAGTGAAGCCCTAGTGATTCTTTCCATCAAGAAACCATTCCATAAAATGAGCCCCCTTTCTTAGAGTCATTCCCAGACTTAGATCTCACTCAAACCTAAGCACAAGATTGGGACCAACAAGTCTTTACTCATTTCCTGACCCACCAGACTCCACAGACCCCTCGTGAAGAACACACCTGATCTACTTTATACTCAGCTACCACTGTCTCCATCACCTTAATCACTACAGCGACTGGCACTGAGATGAGCAAAGGATGCATAGATGAAGAGGAAAGTACACAAGCATTTCTTCTATTGTTCCGCTACCATTCTTCAGATTTACTCCAGTATCAATAAAAGCAGCTTCTTCTACTCTCTCGTCTACTTTTTCTTCTTCTTTGTGTTGGTCTTTTCAGCACAAAATCTAATCTACTCATGCAGAAATTCTATGTGTGATTGTCTCTCAGAAAAAGTACCAATGGCCAATAAATACATGGAGAATGGCACTTAGACAAACACAAATGAAAACAACACTGTGATCCCATCTTACTTCCCAAAAGAATGGCTACCATCAAGAAGTCGCATGATAACAAATGCTGGCAAGGCTGCAGGAAACAAGAACACTTCTGCACTATTAGTGTGAACATAAAGGAGTACAACACCTATGGGAATCATTATGGAGAGTCCTAAGATGATTGAAACTAGAAATTCCATTTGACCCAGCTATTCTCCTTCTAAATATCATCCTCAAAGGGTTAAAGATAGATAATAGGAAATGGGGCCCTAGCTCTTTTGCAAAAAGGAAGGGAACCAAGAGACAGAGGGAAGGCAGAAGGATGGGAAGGGGAGGGAAGGAGACTGGAAAGGAATTAAGATGTGTTATGTACTTGCACCAACTCCCCACAAGCCATGTAATCACTATGTACCACAAACGTGTACTCGTAAGAATCAAGAAAAAAAAAAATCTGTCTGTAACTGGCCAGTTTTACTCATAGTAAGCAAAATTTATCATAAATTGAGGAGCATAACTCAGGTTTTGGGAATCCAGTGAACACTGTCTCTGTCACAATTTTATTAGTACAAATGTTATCTTTCACATTGGTTAGCCCATGTGTGCCTAACAGAGTGAAAGGAATTAAGACGGGCATCAGAGCTGGAGCTAATGCATCACTCTGAAATGCTTCAAAATTACAAGAGAGACCCGGACTTCAGAGCCAAAAGCATAGTTTAAAGAAACCTTGGAATGTATCTGCAAGTGAAATGGAATCCTTCTGTAAAAGCAAGGCCTGAGTTATTTTACAGTGAAACAAGAAACAGTGTTAACCCAACCTTTTGCCTGTGCTGCTGAAAATGCACCTTTGCCCTGTGGGCCCAAAGACACTAATCAAAGTCACTTCAGCAACAATTCTCTGGCAGTTACCTCTCAAGAGAGGGAGGGAAGGTATGCTTCCCTTAGCAGGCTCCTACCAGTACTTCCACAAAATTTCTAATCGACTGGCAATCAGCTCATAGGTAGGAAGGAAAATTCCTTAGCCAACCCTTGGAGAGTTAATAAATCCAATGCTGTGCTGGCTACTCACGGCTCTGCCTGGAGGCTGCTGTCCTCGGCCACGTAGTTAGAAGGGATATAGCCTTCCAGCCGCTGGCCAGAACTGTCTTCCTTCTCCAAGTGTCTGGCCCACCACCAGCCCTTTTGGGAAGTGTTCAGGACTTGGAGTTTGTCGCCTGCATGGAAGCTCAAGTCCTCGGCAGTTCGAGCTTCGTAATCAAACAGAGCAACAAAGTACAGGATGATCGGTTTCTGCTTCAGTGACTGTGGAGGGTCAGGAGCATGGTGGGCCCCTCGATTCACAATCACCACTGGACTGTCGGTGGTGTCCTCGGACACACAGGGGAGACAGAGCTTGAAGTATGCCCAAACCCTCAAAAAGACATTGCCCATGGTGGCCTGGCCACTGAAGGGGAAAAGGGCTCTCTTCTAGCGTGATCTCTGCAGATCCACCTTCTCCTCCAGCACCAGACAATTTTGAAATCAGGTCCAGCTCACCATACACTGGGAAGTTCTCAAGTCCTGTAGACCTGGCTGCAGGAGGTCGGCTGGGAGAGACTCACACTGCCCTGGTGTCCAAGCCGCAGCTGCTGCCCCGGTGCAGAATCCAGCGGGAATTGAGCAGTTGCTCTGTCAGAAGATGCCTCTCTTCCTGTCTGCTTGGGAATTCCACAGCAAAAATCTTTTAAAAAGGTAAGAGGCTTTATGTAGATAAGAAAACAGCAACTTTGCCCTGTGTCTCCAAATGAATGTTAGCGCAAGGAAGACCCTTTACCAGGTGAAGTCTCCCACCTGGCCAGGGCCAGCAGCTCTCTCCACACTGCAGCTGCCCGCCTCTCCTCTCTGGTCCTGTCAGCTACTCTTTCTTTTTTTTTAATGAGTAACCAACCTGCAGAGGCTGTAATAACTGCTCCTTACTTCCTGGTTTCTTTTTGTCTGTGATCTAACTGGGTTTCCTACCTAGGAGAGACCAGCCCCTTTCCCCTGACCTGGAACCAGATTCAAAGCAGCTACCAATTCGGTCCTTTTATTTCACCCTGAGAGACAGGCTAGCCCAGGTAACTTTTCGCCTTGCTGTGTTCCCAGCACAAAAATTCAGAGCAGAGATTTCTTTTTCCCTCCCATAATTACGTAGGACTTTTTTTTTTTTTTTTTTTTTTGCCACTGCTAGGGAAAACAAAAACAGGCAAATTGAATTGCTTAAGTATTTGCTGCCAGATACAGGGCAATTAGGAAAGAATCACTGAGTCCTTACCTTTCTCTGGTTGTTTGTTTGCTTGCTTGTTTGCTTGTTTGTTTTTCTACCCCATCACCAGGAATAGATTTTACGAGCCTCAAAGTATATTTACAGTCTGGAAAAGTAAGAGAAGGGCTGATTAAAACACTGAGAACCTTAAACACTAGTTTTTCCCAGAGAGATATTTAATTTCCCATTCTTCAAGTATTATTTCTGAAACACACACATTCATACACGCATGCACACAGAGACACACTGGGTTAACCTGTAGAGCAAAAAGCAACAGAAGGGCTCTCTGAGACCTGCTATGGGAACTCTTTCTGTTAAACTCTGATCTTCAGGGCTAAGCTGACTCTTATTGACTTGGTGGTAGTGGACATAGCTCAGGGACTAAGGAGCCTGAGATTGGGCAGCCCCAGGAGCCAGTCAGTGACTTTGCTTACCAGGATGGATAGAAGCGATCTTCACAAACGGGCTCCGTGGATCTCAAGAACAACCAGACAGAAAGGAAGTGGATAAACCGATGTTTGTCCTGGTCAGAGAGCACTCTGAAGCTTTTTATGATGTGTATTTTGTTTTTGTAGAAGACATTTCTCTTAAAAACTTCTTTCTTAGTGCTTGGGGTTATAGTTCAATGGCATGGGACATGTTTAGCAACCTTGCGGCTCTGGGTAGAAACATCAGTGCCCTCCAAAGAAATTTTTTTCTCTCTTATAAATAATCTTTCTGTGTGTTGTCAGAGTCTTTAATCTAGCCAGTCCACCCCTTAAAACTCTGTTTTTCATCACACTGCAAAGCATTTTTGATAATTAAAATGCTCAAACTCAAGAAAAAGAAAAAATCAGGACTCAGTGGCCCTGAGTATAGCTCAGTGGCATAATTGTCTGCTTGGCAAGTGCAAGGTGCTGAGTTCGATTCCCAGTACAAAAAAACAAAGAAGAAAAGTCAGAGAACCATAGTCTTGTCCAGAGATCTACTATCTTGTTCTAAAACCAGGCACCAGTTCATTTAGAATAAGGTCTTAGGTCATGTTCCCAAGAGTCTCCAGTAGAAATAATGATCTGTAGGAAAAGAAAAACCAAAAGCTTAGCCAGATCTTCATCATTGCTGTTTGAAAATTTTATGGCCTAAATAAACTATCTATAGATATTCACAGCTTAGATAAAAGAGAACGTTGTAATTATAAAATACTGATGAGCTGTAAAGAATAGTTTCAGCATAATTTTAAAAAAGCAGGAGTCTAACAGTAATGTTAAAGAGAGGCACAGTTGTTGAAGTCTTTCCTGAGACATCTATCTGATCTAGAAATGCAGCTTGGAAGAAGCCAGGGATGTATTCAAGCCCAATTCATAACTGAATTCAAGACTTCAAAAATCTGAAAGATCTCAACTCAAGATGCCGTCACCGTGGTTATGACAAGGTATTCTGGAAAACAGACAAGTCTTCCAACCTCCACAACAAAGTCACTGAGCAAGTGAGTGAAATCAAAGAAGCATCCAACCGTCCAAAGATGTCAGGCATGTAGTAGCCTGAGTAACAGAGCTGAAGGCTGGAGAAATGACTCCTTGTGTCAACAGGACAAGAATTCTCCAGTCGCCCAAGCTTGAAGCCTGCGTGATCCTTAACTCGTTCCGTGATTTCTTTCAGCTAATCAGTCACTACAGTTGCTCAATCTTCCTTTTCATTTACTCCACAAACTTTTTAGAAATAAATTTTATCTGACTGACCAGTGGAGCATTAAACAGAAAATAAAATATCTTCCCCCAGCTCATCCCACAGACAGCCCGCTGATCTCCTTTCCCCTAGTTTATTCCTGTCTCCAACTCATCTTGCATACCAAGATGAGCAAGGCTCCTAAGAGCTTAGAAAATGTTTTTTGTAGTAGTATACATGACTGAGGCATTATGTCAGAGCACTAGTAAGGGGAACTCAGTTTGGAGAGCGTTCTGTTTGCCAGGCACTGTGCTAAAATATTACAAATGATACATCAATTAATTCTCATAAAACAAAAGCAATAGTGATGGTAGTGTGTTTATTTTATTGCAGAGAACAAACTCAGGCTGAAAAGGTTAGATAACTTTCCTCAGGTCACACAGTCACCAAGCAGTTGAGCCACAAATAACAGCTTGGAGTCAGTCTTATTCTCGAACCTGAGACTGAATCCTTTCAAATAATCTGTTGTTCTTCTATGTAAAGTCCTTCAGTACCCTCTAAAAGATCTAAAATAAAGCCTAAACACCTAGCATGGCAAACAAGGACCCGCCAACTTCACCAACTTTAAATCTCTCACTTCCACAAGTAACTTGTGCTGCAGGTTCCCAGACAACCCCGAGTGTGGTACTTTGCTCCTCTTCCTCACCTCTGTGTCCTTCTAGCCTGCTACCTGGTGGCTTCCTTGGGTTCAAGAATCACCTTCCCCAAAACTGAACAAAGGAATCTGTGCATTCTTGAAAGCATGGCCCATGCATCCATGTGCCGGCTCACTGAGTCCCACTTGGTCCCCTTATTACTTATTTTTGCTGTTGTTATCTTTCCTAAAAGAATAGAATTCTTTTCTGTGACTCTCCAAGGATTTGTATGATGCTCAAAATGCAAACAGTAGACACTCAGCATGTGATTTTTGAATTAATTAACTTATTCTTAAAGAGACAGAGAGAAAAGGGAGAATAGAAGAGGATAAGAGGAAAAAAGGAAAAAAATTTGGGGGTAAGACAAACACTTAGGAAATATTTACCACAACAGTGGGAGTTCCATAACATGAAGAATACCTGGAGCACGGAGCAGACCTCGACTTTCTGTCTGCTGCTTTTCAGCCCTGCCTTTCCCCTCCTATGGTTCTCTGAAGGTTGAGTGCCTTTTGCAGTCACCTAACCTACTCTCCCTGCTGGCACTTGGCCTCTCGTTCTTACAGAAAATTGCCACCTTGTTAATCTTATATCATTCTCCTGAACAATCACCTTCAACAGATCCTCGTTGTGTGGAAGACAGGACTTGGAATTCAAAGCTAAGAACGTGTGCTTGGTTCAGTTCCTATCAAATGTACTCTTTCAACATTCCCCTCTATTATGATGACTCACCTTAGCTCTCCTGGTCCATCAAATTGGTTTAGCGAGTCTATTAGTGAGACTCATCTGTCCCCACATCTCATCCTGTCTCTTTCAATTTTCCTTTTCCTTCCCAGCAGAGGCCTGCCTGCCTTTCAAGGGTTGAATAGAAATCCCACACTTCTGTTAGGTCTTCCTCCATGCGTTTCTGACAAAAATAATTTCTCTCTGGAATTTCTTCTAGCTCAGCATTATGCACCCCCCTATACACACAGAATTAAAGGAAGTCAGCCACCCTCCTATATCTGCTCTGCAAAACGCTGCTACATAAAACCCACTACTGTGTGGCTTTATCCCACGAGAATTTAAAGATCACTGACTTCTACTTGGCCTGCAGAGTTGCTGGATGTTCTATGTGGCAGTCGGGTGACTGCAGTTTCCTCTGACGTCTCATGACACTGTTAAATCACCATCATTCTTCCCGAGGTTGCTGTGAAACCCATGTGTCTAATGACCTTAACATAGGAGTTCACTGAAATTCCAAATCTAAGTGCTGTTAACTAATCCCATGTTCTTTACTTTCATCCAGAAGAATTATACCTACAACTGCAAATATTTGCACTCTTTTTCCTCCTGGGATAAAACTTCTATCTGTTTATCCAGTGTGCAGAGTAGTCTTCCTTACTGCAGGTTGTTACTTTTATAGAGGGAGAAAGCTGAAGACGACATCTCCCCACCCTCTTTAAAGCTGGGGGTGGCCAATCAACAAATCAATTGGAAACCTTTGAGCTAAGGTTCCAAGAAAGTGCCTTGAGAGACACTCAACCAGGAGAGCTACTCTTTTTCTCTTCCTTTTTCTTCTCTTTCCTTCTGCCTGGAACTCAGTGGAGATGACTGGGCCTCAGGCAGATATCTTGAACCAGAACGTGATCTTAAATTTGGAAAATGCTGTCTAGGAATGCCCAGAGGCTTCTGTTCAATCCCCAGCACTGCAAAAGGAAGATGACGGAAAGGAAGGAAGGAAGGAAGGAAACAGAGAGAGAGAGAGGGAGAGGCAAAAATAAATAAATAAAAGATAAAGGAAACCCATCTTACCATGGTCCGAGAACACTTACCTTCAAACTTCTTTGTAATCTATGTATACTTACTTTGATTCTTTGTTATATCTTAACCGACATGTTTTCAATGACAGAAAAATGGTTAAATGTCCTACTTAGGTTCTAGCTTATTCCCTTGTAATTCTGAGTCCATTAATTTTTCATATTTTCAGGGGCTGGGGATTTAACTCAGCGTCATAAGCACCTGCCTTGCAAGCAGGCAGTCGTGAGTTCGATCCCTGGTACCGATAAAAACGAAAAAGACAAAAAAAATTTTTTTTTCATATTTTCTTGTCTTTCTTTTAAGTGACTTTCTCAAAGGCATAGAGTCAATGCTAAACGGTCATGAAAGAAAAAATGAAGTAGAATATAGAAGGAAAACAGGGAGAAACAAGAAAAATTATTGAGCTCCGTACTCTATTGTAACTACGTCACTGTCTGTCTCATTCTGTTAGCCATACTGTTCAGAGAAATATTGAGTATTGCCTTC